ACGAATGAATTTGAATGAATTTTTGAATACTTAAAAGTTTTCTTTCTGTCTCTCTTGAAATAAATCCACGAATAATTTTTAAATTTATTAATTTATTAATTTATTATTAATTCTCATGTATTATTAATAAATTTATGATGATAGAATTTATTTAAAGAGTTTTAAATGTTGTAAAATTTGTTTTTTTATATGATGATTATTTAATATTTAATTCAAAGTTCATAAGGAAAATGTTTTTTTTTTTTTTTTTTTTTTTTTTTTTTTAAACATGACATAATATTGTTTTAGAAAGGAAGTAATTTTTACGTTCTTATGATTCTTTTAATTACACTTATTATGTTAGTTAACTTAACTTAACAAAAAGGAAAAAAAAAAAAAAAAACTTGACAAAAACATAAAATGAACAACACGTTTTATGCAATATTTTTATATTAATTAACTTTTTTTGATGTTGTTGTCGTTGTTGTATAAATTTTAACTGCGCAAGGAAATTTTATTACTTTTTTTTTTTTTTTTTTTTTTAGTTTTTAATTGATATTCTAGAGCCAAAAAATATATATTTATATATATAAATACAGAAGATTTTTAGGTTCGGTGTCCTTGAATAAGAAACAAGCCAAGCCTGTACCTTAAAAAAAGTAGCCTGAAAAGTTTTTTCGTTCACACCTTTTCCAAATATTTCTTTTATTTTAACTCATTAGTTAACAATAAGGGTTTTTTTGCTTAATTTATAATATTTTCCTTTGTTTTTTTTACATGTTATTATAATATTTATCTATTTTAGTTTGTCTTGGTTGGGTGCTTATTGATTTCTGATTCGCTGATTTCATTACAAAATTTTTTTTTTTTTTTCTTCCTGGGGTTCCTGGCATTTTATTTACAAAAATGATTTTCGAAAAAAACCTAAGCATAACTTTTGTTAGGTTATTTTTTAATAAAAAGTTTTTTAACAATTTAAAAATTTGTAGAAATAAAAAAAAAAAACAAACAAAAAAAATTTCATTTAGGAAAGTTTTGTTTTTTTTTTTTTTTTTTTTTTTTTTCTCGTCAATATTTAATTAATAATTGAAAAATTCTCGTGAATAAATGTTTGCCAAGTTTTTTTTTTTTTTAAAGTAAATATTTATAAAAATGTTTTTGTTTTAAAAAAGGAGAATGTTACTAGGCTCAATGCATAAGTTTTTTTTACTTTGGTAAAAATATATATATAAATTGAATAATGCAAGCCTCCAGCAGTGGGAAAAAAGGAGGAGGAGGTGATGGAGAGGATGAAAAAAATGCAAAAACCTCCGGTGCGTTCATCAAGGACACATAGTGCCCAATTGAGAACGCCTGAAAGAAAAATAAATATCGGAAATGATCCCGGAAGTATTTCGCAGAATTTAAGGGACAGGATATCTTTTTACGAACAAGTTCTTTCTCGAAAAAAGAAAGATGAACCGAGGTCAGACCCTGGAAGACTCAGGCAAACCACAAGCAGTTTTTTGACCTCAGAAAGAGGGTCTGAAAGGTACTAACCACACGATATTTTCACGCAAAATGTCATAACTCATTATAAACAAGACTTTGCTTTCAATATTATGATAATCCGTACGATAAATATTATTTTTTTACTGATTATATCAGTATATATAAAAAAAATTTTCCAAAAAGAAAAAAGAAAGAAAATTAACGTCGTCACCTTATATATATATATACATTGATTTTTTTATTGTTATCTAAGCTTAAAGTAACAGTTTTTGATAAATTTGTTAATGTATACAATTAACTTATTTTTTTTTTTAAATTTATCTAAATGCGATAAAAATTTATACTCTTGTATTAGTCTATATTTTTATGTATTTTGCTCTCTCTCTCTCCCTCTGTAAGACCTCCCAACATTTTACATTAGGACAAAATTGTTTTTAAACAAACTATACAGTGAAATTCGATTGCTATTATTTTGAGTTATTTTTTATGATTCACATCTTGAATTAAAATTTTTTTTTTTTTTTTCGATTAAAATTTTGCGAGTTTTTACTATTTAGGATCAGGGTTAATTCTGTGCAGCCCTTAAAAAATCTTTTTTTTTAGTAAAGTATCCCTTTTTAAATTTTAACAGCAGCTATATGAATCCTACCCGATCTAGTATGAATAAATCCACGGTTAGGACTTCCACCGGGCGTAGTGGAATGCAAGACACTACAGCCAAAATTGTCGCAAGTGGAAGTACAACTGATGGTGCCAGCAAACCGGAAAAAGTAACAGTCAGACAAAAATTAGACGAGGTTACAAAACCGTTAAGAGTAAAATTATTTGGAAGAGGAACTTCCAAAACATCGATTACGACTTCAACCACAACAACACCTACATCGACGATAACAAGAACAACAACGGCCGTGACGAGAACACTTACTTCGACTAAAACTGTCACAACATCGATAAAATCATCTGCAACGCCGGGAAAAACCGTAACAACCACAACTACAAGGGTTACCGTTTTCCCGAGCAAAGATGGCTCTCCCAAAGTGAGAGAAAGTATATCGAGATCAACGAGCGGTTATTCGAGCAGAGATTCTTCTAGTCGATTTACACCGACCACTTCCGTTGTTTCTCGCTCGATCATAAAAAAAGATGAAATTGCTAAAAGTCCAAAAGCTGCGTTTTTCGAAACGCCGGAAAAGAAATCAATTTCAAAAACGCCACTCACTGAAAAATTAGATAGGAATATTATGCCGAGAACTCCGTCCGAAGAAGTCTTACAAGACTCTTGTTACCACACGAATATATCATTGTCAAAATCATCAAGTGCTGCATCCATGACCATGGATTCTGATGATTTCTTACTGAGAAGAACTCCGTCCCGTGAAAGAATGGATCTTGATTCATTGAGCGTTGGCTCTGAAACAAGTAGTTCGAAAGGAAGCGAATGGTACCAGGAATATAAATCACAAAGCTTTCAAAATTATAACTCGAAATTGGAACGAGTTTTAACTAGACAAGAATATGATTCACATATAGCCGAAATTAGAGGTGAGTTTTTTTAAAAAAAATTTTTTTTATTCAGCTTTTTATATTTTCATTACGTAAATTGTAAAAGGAATTTTAATTTTTCCTGCGAAATTTTCACAACAACGCATTGAATTGTAAATTTTTTTTATTTTTTTTAAAAACGAAAATTCAGGTTCATTACACCTTACTGGAGCAGTTAGTAAATTCAGCCTTGATGATATCTATTTTTAACCCACTTGCCCTGAATTGAGACGTATTTTGCTTTAGCCTGGTAGAAAATTATTGTCTTCTGAAATGAATCGGCCCTTTTTTAAAAACCAAAAATTCGAAGTGTAATTCGCAAACCTCCATTTTTTTTTTTTTTAAAAAAGATTTCCAATCATTATTTATTCGTAAAGTAATCGATGACTAATAATGTCAAACATGGTTCAAATGTGTAGTACATGTTGGTTTAATAAAATGTCACAGATTTCTCTATTAAATCATTCAATTATTATTATTTTTTTGATTACGTTAAACGTTTTTTTTTTTTTTTTGCGAAGTAACAAAACAAATATGAGAAAATGAAAGGTTTCCTTATGCGTACAAATACAAATCAAATATTTGAACTTTGACATTTGTTGAAAGATTTATATATTTTTCTTTTTGATTTTGAGTTTTTTATTCGCATAAAATTTTTTTTTTTTTTTATGTTGATTTTGAGTTGGTAATCAAAAAGAGGTGGTAAAATTATTCAATATTATAATAAAATTTTTTTTTTTTAAAACTTGACTACTTTGGTGAAAAGCAATAAAATTATATTAATCATCTATTGACCTTTAAATTTTATTTTATTTTAAGTTTAAAAAAGTTCTGATTTTAATAGCACGTGGTAACATAAAAATAATTGAAAATATACAGAAAAAAGGTAGATTTAGAATTTTAACATGGGAAATAATCCCAGAAAACATTCTTTTATAATTGGAAATGGGAGAAAACACGAAAAGGCAAAGTTCATCAAAGAAAAATTTACGTTCAATTACCTTTTTTTTTCGTTTTTAAATGGGGGGAAAGGGGTTTTATTTTTATTTTTACAAACGAAGAAAAAGTTTGGGGAAAAATTTCGGGTTATAAATTTCTAAAAATAAGAAATTGTTTCGCACGCGGAAATTTACGTAATAAAAAAAAAAGAAAAAAAAATGAGAAAACATAAAACAAAAGGTAATTTACTTATTAAAAACAAACAAACAAACAAACGATTTTTTTTTTTTTTTTTGAAGAATAAAAACAAACCGAACAATGAGAAATTTACAAAAAAAAAAAAAACTTTATTTATTTATTTATTAATGTCAAATGTTGTGTGTACCTAGATGCCTGACAATAATGTCCTTTCATTAATACATTCAAACATACGTCGTAGCCATTTCCCTTTTTTTTTTGAACATGATTTTGCTCGCGGCTATTGAAATTGATGAATGATTTGTGATGTAAGGTTATAACAAAATTTTTTTATTTAAAAATTCATTCTTGCAATTGATTCTCTTTCAAAAAAAATTTATAAACAATTTGACCTCGGGACGATTTTCTACTCAACCCCCGCATTTATTTATTTATTTATTTTTTCATTCATTTGTTTAACCTTTTAATTTTTCTACTATAATTTTATTTAAATTATTCATTCGTTTCCTCGTTAATAAAAAAAAAAAAAAAAAATTTACAATCATTCTAGTAGATGTAGGAAAGAGTTTTTATGCGAAATTTTTTTTATGCTACCAACATTTTCCTATTTGAATCGTCTGTAGTATGCCAGCCATTATTCTCATATGCTATTCTCGTACTTAGACATATATGGTAAAATTATTATTATTATTATTGTTACCAGTCGGTTGTTGGTTCATTATTATTACTTTTCCTTATTAGTTATTGTAATAATGTAAG